GGGTGTGTAGACCACACTGTCCTGCGCTGCGCGCCAAATATGATTCATATATGAATCATTCTATCCTCAATGTATTAGCTCGTAAGCATTTAGGTGACACGAGCTCGGGTCAGATCTCGGATCATATTCTGCCTTGGCTAACACGCCTTTCATCCTTGCGAGATCGACTTTTTAGTAACAAACTCTTTTGGGACTAGTAAACGTGCCTATCGACTGGCCCACGTAAGTTGTTTCAGTGGCCAAATTCCATTCAAGATCCTACTATGACTATGATTGGAAGCGGAATGCGATCCCAAAAAGGAATTGATTAACACCGAATGCTTTATCCTTTACCAAGGTATTTCATACGATACCTTCGTTGAATCAACGCTTCGGCAGCTTCGACGCCCACACCTTCATTGGCGGCATTCTTAGTACAACAAAACGCTCTTAGTGCCGAGGACAGCGTGATTAGTTCCTCGAAAAAGGCCATTGCTTGGCAACTCGCAGTTTTTTGTCATTCTTTCACATTCACTTTCACATGGAACATTACTATTCAATAACTTTTATTCTGTATTCAAAGGCACTGAATATACATACATTACATATACATTGCGAAGCAAACCGATCAATAAACTCTTCAAAAAATCTATGATACCTAAAGATAAGGAACCCGTGAATGATTTCAGTCTTATCGTTAAATAGATTGAGGTCAACTGTATGCGAAATGCGCGTGCTGACCAACTACAGCTGAATGAACCGAGAAACCCGTCAAAAAGAGCAGTAAAATAATAGTCGTTGGGGAGCACGCTGGGGGAACTGAAAGGCTTAGAACTGTGTAGATCATGATGAGAAGTGCTTGGGAGATGCTCGCCTAGAAATCAGACTCGGCAATAGTGTCATCGTCCTCGAATACCGGATTCTGATGCAGTTCGGTTGTCATTCCTGAGCGTTCAGAGGCGATGGACTCGATGGCATGAAGGATACAGTGATGGATGAAGATGTACTGCTGCTGAAAAGTACAGTCTTAAAGTCAGCTGAGAATGACGTCATCACCCTCTATTCATCATCCTCATACCCCCACTTTGTTGTCGTCTGGGGACAGACATGACATAAAACATGGAATTCAAAGTGACTTAGATGTGTGATGCTAGTTGCAGACTACAAAAGGAGGCTGTCGGAAGTGCTTTTTCCTACCGTTTTCTCATTGCAAAAGCTCCCAGATATTAGGGTCCAGCGCTTGATTTGCCTTTCTTTTGCAGAATAGCAAGTCTACAAAAAAGGTAAATCAGCGCTAATCGGCGAGCTGACGTGAGCTGTTGCCTTCTCGAACATCGCGACCGTTGCTGGTGATATAAATGCACCGTTTTCACCTCGTAAGAGTTTATTAACCGGTGCACTTGGCGTGATGGCGATCCCTAGTCACTGCTATACGAAGTTATTACGATAAACTGATGCGCTAGTTCTAACTGATCAGCGCTCTGTGTGGCAGCGGACTTTTCCGCTCGAAGGGTGGAACCGACGGCCTCTGAAGACGACGATTCAGTCGAAACGTTAGGCCATTAATAAAGGTTCCACCGAACAACCTCGTAAGGCACAAGAAAATTTGTTAAACTTCTGAGCGCAGAGCCTGAAGGGACTTTTCCAGCGCGATTGTACGATAGGAATACACCATTTCATCGGCTTGAGGGGCGCCCGGAACAGCGCTGGCTCGATGCGTTACACAAAGACTTGAAATCGTTCAACATCCACCCTGATCAAGCATTTAATCGGGAAAAGTGGCGGCGCAGCACATAAGAAAAGCGGACCCCGCCAACAAGCGGGACAAACGCTAAAGAATAAGATCACACAGTAGGAAATGGTGGACACTAGTGGGTCGCAGCATTGGCTAGCGGCCATATACTTACGAGATCAAGTAGGCATTGAGGAGCGCCGTTGCTCGGAATTGCAAGAGTTGCAAATGCATGGCGTATTCAACTAGTGCTCATTATTCGCTCCTCCCCTGCACTTACTCACATGGGTGCTTCCCTTTTCGAATCATGAAAGTTTTTGAATCTCTACATCACCTGTTTCTAGAACTTTTCCTCTAGCTTACATTTTCAAACACGTGCAGATTCCCTGCGGAAGCGGTTTTTCGACGATTCAAGGACGGATTCGGGTGTTTGTTCCGGCTCGCGGACGACATTTGACATGCTAGGGACATCCCCACAAAATAAGCCTCGGGGAGTGTGTCCGCCAAATGGTGCCTCGTTTAGCCGGCGAGTGCTTTTGCGTGAAAGGGACATATCAAGCACCTCCCGTGCGTCATGTTCCTTCGAATACATAATCAGGCTGCGACGACGAGTTGGTCGTCCGCCCACCTAAGCACTCGCCTCACAAATCTACTTAGACATTCGTAACGTTGTGTGAAACCCCCGCAGCCGGAATGAGAAAGCGGCTTTCAAAAAGCTTTTCTCTAACATGCGGGAAAAATATACGCTATTCTTGAGTTGTGTAGGTCCTTTAAAGCCGCCAAATATGAAGTTGAGAAGCAACATGCTCCACTCACTTCATTGCTGGGACATGTGACACCGTTCGTATCGCATTTCGTGCACAATTCCAAAGACGTCGATGGGCCGATCAATTTGTATTGTTTGCAGAAGACGATCGATTGCAATGAATGTACCCGACCTTCCGACTCCAGCACTGAATTTAAAATTGTTTTACTAGATTGGCCCAAGCGCGATAGGAAATACTTGATTAACGGCTTGTTGCGATGAAATGCATACCTGCAGTGAACGATGGTCGGCTTGTTCAAGGCAGAGAGTCGGCGAGCCTTGAGCGGAACATTCAGAGCAGAGCTACATAGGGATATTTTTGAAAAAGAACCGTTAGGTTAGAGCATTGCCTATGTGTATAACTTCGTATAATGTATGCTATACGAAGTTATTACGTTTGAGAGCGTGAGACTGAAAACGACCAGTGCATTTTGGACATCAAAAAGGTGTGGGATAAAGGATAAAGGAAAAGCATTAGTGACTGCTCAGTCTCTTTTTGGGGCAGCAGCACAATTAGTACCATTTCTATTTGTACATTCGCAGTGACACTTGAATGCGATTTGACCTAAATAATGATTTGCGGGAGCTGGCCTATGTACATTTCACTGTTTATTTTTATCCTCCCAGACAAGGTACCAATTAACCGACCCTGAAGAAGTGGAAGACTTGGTTGGCCCGGCACTCGGCCAACAAGGCATTGATCCTGGAGACGACGCGTGTATGGAAGCAGCGCCACTTGCCACACCACTTCCGCTCAGAGGTTCTCATTTGTGGGAACGTGTTGGAAAATTTGTCCGAATTTACAAGGATTGAGTGACTATGAAAATGAGCCCCGACGAGATCCTCTACATGTTTGTTCCATCCCAGAAACAAGTATGAACTATTTTGCAGAAAAAAAAACTCGTTGCAAAAGAGCTTACCGAATGATTCCCTGCGGATGATCGGGCACTCCGAAATCCGGCCAAGCCATGTAATGAAAGTGCCATATAATCCGTGATGGCGTAGAATCGTGCAGCTTTTTCAAACGCAATTCACGAACAGTGAAATCTTCAAACGACGACTCATTCAGCAGTGTCACCTAAACAGGGGGATTTTGCGATTGGTATCGGATTCGAGTCCTGAAATCTGTTTACCTTCGATATCCGAGTAAACGACGCTCGAATGTTCAACATCAGGCCAGTATTGATGGCATTTATCACGCCCTTTCTCCACACACTTCGTTAAGGCAATAATTGCCGGGCAGTACTGCTCCCACGCCATCTGAATAAAGGATAAATTTGCTTTGAAAAGTTTTCCAGAGAAACGACTGCAGCACTTTCTTGACTGCCAAAAGGTCACTGAGCCGCGTCTCTGGTTGTCGGTAACGGCCCCTGTGCGGCGATGAATTCCCGCCTCGAAGAGTAGCCCTTAACAAAGACAGATAAGGCATTTTTACAACAAATCCAAGCCGCAGCGAAAGAAAAAAGATCAGAACAAACGGCAATGAAATGTTTGCGTCACTGACGTAGTTGTCTCCTCATGAGCAACGTCTGCCATCAATCCGAACACAGGTGTGAATGATGTAAGGAGAATGTTTGTAATCTGTAAGCAGACACTGTTCGATTTGTGATCATGAATTGAAGGCTAGAACTTCGGAAGGTTTCGGTTCGGATCTCACCTGTTCTTTGGCTTATTTGCGGGCAATTCTGCAGCCGTATATGATTGTCCGCATCCAACATTTCGAAGAATCTACAAAGGAAGGTATTTAACATTATTGTCCTATTTCACTTCGTTATCAAACTGAAATCACCTCATACTTCTTCGGAAAAGCGGAAATCGGAATCAGCAGCCATCATACGAACATGCTCAGCAAAGTCCGCTATCTTCACAGGACGGCTGGAAATAGTTACTTCATTCAGAATTATCCTCCTAACAGGGTTTGAGTGGTGTAAGGGCAAAGGCGCTGCTTCCAACGGGTGCGTTGGGCGGATAATTTCGGACGTGACCGTTGGAAAGGCGAGTGCCACTTGTTGGTTCGTTGTACGCTGAATTGCCAGTCAATTTCTTTCCACGTCTCCGCGCTATTTTCAGTACAAGCTTGTCTTTGACGGATCTCGGTGTGGATTATATGAGCCAAATACATCAAAATGTCCCGTTACGATTCTGAGTGGAAGCAATAATGTGGTGCATCCAGAAAGAATTAACATGCAGCTTGAAGCTGCATTTGGTTCATGACTTGGAAAATTGCTCTCCAATAATACAAAGTCGGCACATTATGGCCCCCGAGCATTATTGGTCACTTTCGAGTGGGCCACGCACTCGAATTCATCGTAAAATTTGGAGGATTACACCTATCATGATAAATTGCTGATTACATAAATCTCAATCAGGCGACGTCTCTGCGATCAGTTCCATCCCACTAAACACATCTCATCGGCTCGTTAGCTGCGAGGATTAGTGGCAATAATTTGCGAATGTGACACAGCGCTTTCAGGATGTGCACTGACAGGTTCTTCAGAGGGCATCAGGCGAATATTTGAGGACGATCATGTCGAAGCGGTGAAGCGGTCGTATGTCTCCGGCAAATAGTTTACTTTGTTGGTGTTAACACCCGTGATCACCGTGTAGAGCGGAGTTTTGTTGATTGGACCGCTTGGAAGTCGTTCCAAGCGATGATCGACGCCTGTTCGCTCTCTCAAACTGCGACAGCTGAAAGGGATCAGTGTTTTACGAATCTTCATCTATTTATGAAGGTATGAGTAAACCAGTTTACTTAAACCTCCCAACTTACCGTCGATGGTGTCCGAATGAAGGTTGAAGATGAGACGGCTGACTGGGTATGTCGTTGTTGTGCATGGAACCGTCGAGCCCAGTTTGGCCAGACAGTCTGCTGCTCGCTCGGCATTATCATTTTGAGTGCAGCCCACTGGGATTCCTTCGACGACGCGTATGCTGCCCTGCAAAATTCCCACTGAGCATTTTCAAAGTTGAGCAAAAGCTTGAGTGAGAGAAACGTTTCCACATGAGCAGAACAGCGACTGAGCATAGAACTCAGCCGCTTGACTCCAAGCAAGTTTCCTAATCTTTTTTGATACGAGGTCGGATTAAGTGGGCGAAACCTCAGGAGTTATTCGCATTATAGCATTGAGAACGATATCATGCAAGATTTAAAGCCTTACGTCATAAGCTGAGCATGAGCGTAATCGCTGAATCCGAGCTAAGAAAAAGAACGTTCGATGACAGAGAAGGATAAGTCGTTCGAGTGTGGGCCTCGCTATATTCTAGTAAGGTCGAAAACAAAATCTCTTCAAGAATGAGCGACGATTTTTCATGGATTTTGTATTAATTAAAATGACCTTCTTTGGAAGAGGTTATTTTAACTAGTACAAAATCCATGAAAAGTAGCCATATCAAGAAGCTGCAAGTTCATATTCAAGACTTTTAAACATTGAATTTTCAGCTGATCTTTTTGTTTCTTCACTGTTATCTGCCTTGTCCTATGACATCCAATTCAAAGTAAAACATGCAGATCTAATTACTGAAGCAACTAAATAAGTAGCCTGATTACTTGGTTATTTATAGCAACGAAATTGCAATTTGCATCGCTCTGTACCAAAAGCCAGTGCATGGGCGGGGGCAGTATGAAGAGAGGGAGAGAGGATGTTTGCCATTCACGGAGGCGTGGGTGCGAGCGCGCGGATAACTCGGCGGTCGAAGCACGTCTTTGAGGCGGAGAATAGAAGGAGAACATCGATCTCAATAAGCACTTGGACGGATTGCCTCAACTACAAAACGTCCATCAAACTGCGAAGCGAATCGAGACGTGCACTTACAATCATTCTGACGAAGCAGCGGTAAGTACTCGCAAGGAGATGACCATGGTCAATATGATGCGAGCTAACCTTCCGTTGTCCCACTTAAAGGCTATTCCTTCCAGAGCGGATTAAACCGAAGCACATTCTTGGGATTCTGCTATTCATAGGAAATTCTCACTGAAATAGGCGGTCTCAAGTGGCTCCGCAACAAGTGATGTCATTGGTATTCAGAACTAAGCCATTCCTATAATCTCAACCTTTTCCGTGACAAGTCCGCTTTACCATGAGCAAGATTAGAAAGCAGGGGCTATGTACGGCAGTTGATCGTACGTGCGGCAGCCGAAGACAAATAGCAAAATTAGGATATTTATGAAGTTTATGCGGGAGAAAAATTCAAATTCACAACGGATGACTTCAAGGCAGACAGCAGCCATGGCTTTTGGGCAACTATGCTCAAAAACAGCAATGATTAATTGGATATGATTTTTGAACGTTCAGAAAAATGTTTCCTTTTTTCGGAGATTGGCTTTTTTTTTCGAGGAAATCCGGAAGTAACGTGTCAGTATGAGCATGAGGAATCAGTGACGTAATCAATGACAGCTACATTACGGAAATCTGAAGTAAGATAAAGATAAGATAATGAATTCTTAGTCAAAACGGATTCACCGAGGATTTAATCTGACGCTTGTTGTGGGAAGAATGAGCAAGATGTACAAGCGGCATCCACTCACTTCTTGCTGAATTGCCTTTCGACGCTCAGCTTTACTAAAACTTGAGCGTTCCGCTTTGCACTTGAACCCAACTGTACCAGCATAAACCGGGCCTCTGTCCGTAAATAATTATCCAGTATGAGAGGAATACTGCGCTCAAAAAACGTCTCGTCCTTGGCCTCCTATGGACGGAAAGGCTCAACGTATGGCCCAATATGGCACCATAGCTTAATCGAAACCTCGGTGAAACGCCTCAGTGTGGAATCATGTTTCTTAACATCTAAGCATTGCTACCGGAGAGAATATTCCCAATACAGTGAATCGAGGAACTGAAATTTCGAGCACATCCCCTCACAATCTGTCGCAAGAGCTAACTTGGCCCCTGTGGACACACATGCGCTTACCGCTCGTGTAAATTATGGGATTAAGAACCTGGCAAACTTCTTCCTTTCCAAGGGGCTTCCTTGTAAAGATCTAGTCATATAAATTCAGCCAGGTGAAGATTGTTGTGTGACAAGTTGCCACATCCAAGTACATCTAGGATTCCCAATGGAAGGAGATGCTTCTCAATTTTAACAGATTTCGTCGACGCCTATTATTTACTCATGTTTCTTCTCTATATGGTCAGTTACTGCGCCTAGAGGGCAAAACAAAGGACAAATCGAACTCATTCCTGAGTTAAGACCGGACAAAGAAGAAATCGACGGCAAGATGGTGAGAGCTCATAATGCCTCTTTCTATTTGCAACAGAGGCTTTGCAGCTGATTGAATACAGTGAAGCTCAAATTTAACTAACCCTAACGACTTGAAGTGAAGTGCTTCTGCATTTTGCAGTGTGGTGGGCTTGATTTAGGTTATTCCCTTCCGTTTGATTACCGGTTATTTCGCCTCCCCTCCCCCGGCCTCACCTGCAGTTACTGTCAGAAATGTTGGGGAGAGAGGATTTAGGCGTTTGGCGGCTTAAACGGACATCTCTCAAACTATGAGCCAGGCTTCGGGCTTTGAGGATGAAAGATGTCGCCGGTGAGTTAGACACCAGCATGGCTAGGAGAGTCCATCTACAAACCAAAGAATCGTTGGCAGAAGAAGAATAGCATAATTGCAACATGGCGAGGTTCTACAAAGAGGGAAGTTGGAGTTACTGAACACTCATGAGGCTACTTTTTGGGAAAACGTCGAGGTTTTTTGGCGGAAGAAAAATTGAATGACAACGGTATTACACAAATGCCTGTTGAGCATGTGGTGAATTGGATTACGAACAGAAACATTCGTAAACAACTGAAAAATAATGGTCTTCATCTGGAAATCGTCTGCAAAATATATCACATAGCATTTCCGCATTGCTTGGCTGGCGGTTCTGTGTAGAAGCAGATAGCGCTTTTTTACGGAAGAGCTCATCCTTAACGGGATCCTGCCCCGGCCAGCCAGGCGTTACATCTCCCAGTGGAAGGTTAACTAGTAGTGGACTAGCTTGAGAGGATAAAGCTATCTACGACTTGGCACACGCAATGTTACTTGCAAGGTATTGTATAGGTATCCAAATTTCATCACGTTTGAAGGTTGAAAAATGCTTTGAATGGAAGAAGGGTTCAAAAAAGGAATGGAACGGTGCCAACGCTTCGTTTACAAAGCTTCAGGTGACATTTGTAAAAGTTCCTGTGGGTGTTTCGTAGCCTAAACCGCCCTCAGCCTGAGGGAGTACTTGGAAACGAGAACGTTCCAGTTTAGAACCTCTCACACACGTCAGTCGACGACAGCTATAATCGTTGCTGGAGCGTCGACAAAAACACCGACGAATTATTCGAACACGACATGACAACGCTTCCATATATGGAACGGGGGCGGTATCGCACTAAGGCGGACTTTTTTCTGTTGGAAATGTGGACAAGGATAGAATCCGGCCAATCGCTGCTGCCAGGGCTTGTCGCGGATACAAACGCGATCGAATGTTCCCTGGAGCACAAAAATTCCTGTGAATGAGCGGACGGATGGATGCGGTTCAGTATAAAAATGTAACCCGGAAACTAGTAATGAATGAGGGGATTTCAATCGATAGCGAAAATGAACTTAGAAAGAACTGAAAAATACAATTTCGCATGAATGAACACCAAGGAATATGCGTGGGAGGTTATGAATGATGTCGTAGTATTGACATCTTTGAAGGTTTTCATATGAAACGAAGAAATACAATTCCTCCTTGCTCTCACAACACACGGGGTTCTAGGAATCTAGTATCTGGAACAGTAGAAAAGCTTTTCGGCGGAGTACGAAGAGAGGAAAGAAGGAAGCTCATCAGATTCCCGCTCTGATCCGAGAATTGAATCTTGTATCAGACGTCGTCCAGGCCTACCAAACCTTCACCGCCGCGGGGTCGCTTAGTTGGTAACAGACTCGTCTGGGAGGATGAATAACGC